TTAATTAATCAATGAAAAATTTTCAATACCCAATTAACCGGATAATTGGTGAATAATTGGTGAATATCATTCGGCGGATACAACCACTAGTGGGGCCAGTCTGTACGATCTTCGATTCCGTATTTTTGTTTCATACAGAGCATTTTTTACTACAGAGACGCAGATGTACGGAATACGAAACCTCTATAGACTCCCCCCATGATTGGTAGAAAATATCTTTAAAAAACCTTGTCGTGTAACTGAGGTAGGTGTGGTAAGAGTTTTTTCATTGTGGTGTTAAACAATCCCTGAAATTCTTGGTTCACTTGTCTGGTTTTGTTGCAGTATGCCCATTTAATACCAAATCAATAAAGTTTTCAAATGATATAAAAACTTATTTAGTACAACTTTGAAGAGAGATTTGGATATAAACTTTTGTCTAAGGATAGAACAATTACAAAACCAACCTATTCTTCGGCTGCTTGATAATGATGATTGCGAGAAGAAACTTGAAGTTGAGGAAAGGACAAAATTACGGTTTTTGAATTAGGGAAAGTTTATTGTCAATTAGCCATACAAAACACTCGCTTTGAATTTAAACTCCTCGAACCAAAGTATTGGAACGCAGTTTACACAAATTATGTTATCATAGACATGCATATAAAAATTTATCATGAGTTCGATTAAATTTGTAAAAATTTCGTGAATTCTCAAAATTTTACATAATAAAAGAAAAGAAAGCTGTTTTTGTGTAAAATACGATGTTTCCAAACGCCTAGAAAATTAAAATAATCAAATAAAAATTTTCATTTATTTAAGTTTAATAAAGCTTTAGGTGCCAGCATACATATCAAAATATTTACAAAGAACAAATCGTTTGAAAGTTCAAATTGTTTTCAAATGTTAACGAAACTTAGCATTCTTGTTTTTATTTTGCTTATTTACTTGTTTTCGAATGCAAAATAGATTATTCTTTCAAGATGAAGTAATATCAATTATAAAACACAATTTTGTGGCCAATGAACCTGTATTGAAATTTTTATATTGTTTAATCGGAGAATATTTGAATCTATAAATTTATAATATTAATACATTGATATTTCTCAAACTCTCAATATTATGTGGTTAATAATTATATTTATTTAGAAAATAAAAAACATAATAATAATAAATAATAAAAATAATATATAAATATATAATAACAAAATACTAATTATAATAATAATTAATTTTGATTTTTCAAATAATCTATTATTTGCTCCATTTCAAAATAATGTTGATTCATCTTCAACATATGGTCTTTAATCATTGACATATGGTTAGAAATTGAAAGAATTAAATAATTGCTGTTATATCTGATGGCATTATTATTAATATTTCCAGGATTCAACAAAGTGCTATTAAAGTTGGGAGCACTGTTAGGGTTGGGATTTAAATAGGGATTGCTGCCGTTATTATAGTTATTGCTATTAACGTATAAAAATTGTTGTAGTGGAGTTGTATTAATAATATCATTCGATGGTGGATTGTTGCTGGTTACATAAGGATAGGTGGGACTATAACCAACATGAGTTAATTGCTGTTTATACATTTTTATTTTTTTTAAAAAACGCATTTTTTATTTTAGTTTTTTTGGAGCATATTTATAAGTTTTTTATTTTTATTTTTTTCGGAGTAAAAAAGTAAATAAATTACATTCTAGAGATAAAAAAACATATTTCCTCAAAATCACTTTTGATAATAGATAACTGATAAAAAATTTGTTCGCTTATCTTTTGATGGTAAAAATACTCCACACCTCAAAGTAAACAAATATGGTTGTAACTCTTTATTTGTTTTTTTTTTGTGGGATATAACTGAGGTGATATAAAAGGAAACTCAGATGTGAAAGAATAAGAAAACTAAATAAATTACATTCTAGAGATAAAAAAATATATTTCCTCAATTTTTACTTATCAAAATCACTTTTGATAGATAACTGATAAAAAATTTGTTTCGCTTATCTTTTTTATGTTTACTTTGAGGTGTGGAATTATTTTACCAAATATGGTTGTAACTCTTTATTTGTTTTTTTTTTGTGGGATATAACTGAGGTGATATAAAAGGAAACTCAGATGTGAAAGAATAAGATTAAAGGAATGAACTTTGATATTTATAAATACTGTAATGATCGACGATCTAAAATATTTATCATTTTAGATTATATAACAAATTTACAAAAATGTCAATGAGAAAATAATTTCTTATCATCACTAATCTTGTGACATAAATATTCAGTAATCAACCAATTCATACGATTTCACAACTTTGGGATTCTTCGTGAAATTTTCAGTAAACTTTTATTTATAAATAAATAATGTGATATATGATTAATATCTGTAAATTAACTGCGGTAAAATACTCAATTTCCTTGTTTGTTTTTTTTAAATTAAATCACCAAACCAATATCCATCTTTTGGTTTACGTCTTGAATCTTTAAATATTTCTTCTGAAGCTTTACCAATTCTAAGCAAGAGATCTTCCTTGTACCTTTAATACAAACAAAAATTTTATCAATCAATTTTTAACCATTCTAACATTGATGGTCGACTAATCAGTTAGCTAGCTAGTTACCATTTAGCCATAAATTGTAAACCGATTGGGAGTCCATTATCATCATACCCTCCTGGGACAGTAATTGCTGGAATGCCAGTGAAATTCGCCAATTGAAGAAAATGTATAACATCTGTAGCGACAACTGAATCAACTTCACCGAATTTTAATGCACGTGGATGAATTTTTGGTGCCGTCACGGAACTAACTGGTGTTAATATCAGGTCTACTTCATTGAAAAGTGTTGCCAAATTTTTCATACTACGTGTTCTTACTTGTTGTGCTTGAACTATTCGACAACAATGTAAGATGAGGAAGAAAAAGGAAAAGAGAGAAAATAAAAAACTTATTTAATTGAATGCGAAAAACAGATGAAAATAATTTAACAACAATACTTACTATAATCCTGAATATTCATATATTAAATAATTAACATTAATAAATTAGTTGTATATAATTTCAAGATATTTTAATATTTATAATAGTAATTACCCTTCCAGTTATTTGCTCTAGTATAGCGAGCGTGAATCGACTTGGATAAGATAATTTATAAAGTTCATCCTTATAATTTTTCATTGATGTGTAATGTTCCGCAAAGATGTTGACCAAGTGGGCTGCTTGAACATCTTTCAGCTCCGGAATGACAATCTCTACAAAATTTGCACCTCTTTCTTTTAATTGATTAATTAAATTGTCAAGTGATATTGTGATTGATTTGTTGTAAACTTGTTTATTCCATGCAGAATATATACCGATTTTCAGATCTGATAAATCTTTGGTCTGATTTAAATTATATAATGTTGGAGCTGGTTGTAAATATGTAAATGGATCCTACAAAGAAATTACGATTGATAATAAGTTAAATATAACATAATTAATTAAAGAATTAACAAATTAAAGAGTAATCTCTAACATCTTCATCTCTTCCTGCCATTGCATAATATGCCAAGGCTAAATCATCAATACATATTGCCATCGGACCAGATACAGCTACTGTCCAACAAAGCGGGACTATGATTACCAAATTAAAATAATTGGGATTAATCTATTAAAGAAACAGATCAAGTAATAAATAAATAAAATATAAAGAATCAAGAGGCATGCATACATTCTCCTGCATTAGAATTTCTTCCACATGTAGGTTTTAATCCATAAATACCACAAAAAGATGATGGAACCCTAAAAAACAATAATTAATCAATTTTTTCCTCTTGTTAATTTTCCTCGTTTTCCTTCCACTCCTCTCTTTATTTAGTTATCCAGTTAAATATTTACCTAATAGAACCACCACCATCACAACCAATGGCAATTGGGGTTAATCCTGCAGCCACTACACAAGCACTTCCACCACTTGACCCACCACAATAGTAATCAGGATTATGGGGATTACGTGGCGTAAGCGATGAGGGATTATTACTGGTGATACCCAATCCGATCTCGTGCATTATAGTCTTTCCGACAATAATAGCACCCAATTTCCTCAAGTTATGAATAACAGTTGCATCTTTATCACAAACATTTCCATCATTAATAAATGTTGTCCCAACTTTGGTTTCATACCCTATAACATCAAACTCGTCTTTTACCAGAACAGGAATCCCGTCGAGAAGTCCTAACGGTCGTTCGTCTTCATATCTTGCAGTTGATTTCTTGGCTTGTTCTATTACATCCTCTTTATTTATAATAGACACAGCGTTTATTAGTGGATTGGATTCTTCGATTCTTTTAATTAATGCTTCACATACCTAATAACATTAATGATATTAATATAATAATAATAATAACAACAACAATAATAATAATAATTGAATTTGTTATGCATCCTCTTATTATGTAAAGCTCCTTACTTGTAGAGGTGTGGTTTTTTTAGAAAGATAAGCTTGTCGAAAATCACTTGTGCACAAGTAGTCTTTTGTATCAACATTGTCACTTGGATTACTTTGATTTGATAAAACGCTAAATCCTTCAACTATTATATTATCCTCTACTCCAAAAACTTCTTTTGGAAAAGGTAATGGAATGTTAGTTGGATGATCTGAATAACTTTTTGTTCTCAATGATCCCCAACCAGTTCTCGCAAAAAGAATTCTGGTGCAGCCGGGAACCCATTCAATAAAATGTGTTGAACATGCTAATGGAATATGGCTTAAATATATGTGTGTGTGTGTGTATGTGTGTAAAAAGAATTAATTGATATGTAATTGATGTAATTATGTTTGTGTGGTAATTAGTTAAAAAAAAATACCTTAGATATGGTGTGGGCCTACGAGCGGTGACCTATTTTTTTTTTTCGATGATTTCAAATTAATTATTTGTATATTTATTTAATTGTAAAGATCATTTATCAATTTATTTATTTACCAATTCTAGTTTTTCCATTTTTTTTTTTTCGTTGATATAATGGTAGAGAAAAAAATGGTTTTTGTTTTTATCGTAAAGATGTTTAAAACTTTTTTTTGACTTTCATATAATTAATATATATTGATATTAGATGCATCAATTCCAAAATTTCTCATGCGACAATTACCAAAAACGGACTGGTATCAGGCCATTTAATAATTATTTTCTCACATACAAGACATTTATTTCCAAAGCTTGCTACGACAAGCTTCTTACTTATTTGGTGGAATGGGGAATCTTTATTTGGACATAAAAGAAAATCTCGCCAAGAATATTGACGCTAGATTCTCGAATAATTTCCAAATTAAACAATTGGGAAAATGCTGCGTATGTAACATTCTTCACAAAATGGGTTTTATCTTTTTCTAGTTTAGTAGTGGACGTGTAACTGATGGAATCGAGGAAGAGTTGTATAACAAACACCATCACTATTTACTATTTAAACTGCTAAAGAATTTCTTCCAAAGAAAAAAACATCATGTGATTACAATCTTAGAGTAATATATATAGTAATACGTAACAAGTGTAACCAAATCAAAAAAATCAAAAAGGTATATAATGGGGCAAAAAATAATAAAATAATTCAAATTTTTCAACCTCTTTCCCCAACATTACTTTTTTCGATTTTCTTCAAATGGATACAAGATCTTTGGAGTACGATAAAAGTAGTAACTACTCAAATTGGATACTTTTGCTGATATTTATAATTTCATATCTATACATTGCAATTAAAGATTATTCAAAATGGAGAGAATCAGGAGGAAAGTCTTTTTTACAAGCTGGTAGCATCAGAAGAAAATTTAAGAACATTAGCAAGAAAAACAACGACAAAGATAATAAGAATAATAACTATATTTATTATATACCAATAATTATTCCATTTGCGGTAATTTACTTGCTGATAAAAATATCTTATGATCTATTTAAATTATTTGTTTTTCATTCATTAGATTTTATTAAATATTTAGTTATGGTTATTATCAACAACAACAAAATATTATTAAGGTTTGCTAGTAAATTAATCAAGGATACATCATATTATACGAAGATCGGTATTCAAAACTTGATTTATTATACTAGGTATATTTGCAATAATTATTTACTCGTGATTCTAGAGAAATTTATTTGGTTAAATTCGATGATTTTTGAGAGATTATCAAGATTAGTTAGGAGGGCAAATGCTATCTTTACCAAATTTATTGCTGATAATAAGGAATATTTCATGAATGCTTTAGATTTTAGTATAAAGTTTGTCAAATATTTTATTGAGAAAGCAAGTTATTTACTAGAGACATTCATGATTTGCGTAAAATTAGTTATCAGAGATATTATAATTAAAGATCTCAAATATATAATTAATGATTTGATAGTGAGCTTTCTGGTTAGAAACAAATTAGCAATAGTAAATTTTTTATATTATAATCTATACATGGATCACACCAATTATTTCATCAATATTTATGTTTATAATTTCTTGTCTGATAAATATTTAAGAAGTTCTATTCACAATATTATATCCCTAGAACAATTGATAGTTTCTAAATTTTTAATCCCTAGATTTTTAGCATTAAAAAATTTAATTTCTCGAAATATTTCTCTGATAATAGAACAATCAATAATAATATCACACAAATTATTTGATAGATTAAAACAAATTTTGTCGGTGGTAATATCTTTTTTCAATAAATTAGTTATGGAAAATTTTGTTAGAAAAATAAATATTGGATATATGTACAAGGAATTAAGTGAATTTTATATAATAACATTAATAGGTGCAGTAGTATTCGTAATAGACATTAATTATATATATTATTATAACATTATTTCACATTATTACAACATCATTTATCATTATTATTACAATTATTTCATATTAATAATTATAAATTATTATCACAAAAGATTAGCAAAGATTTTTATCGCAATTTTTCATCTCGTCAAAATATTATTTAACAAATCTATAAATCTATCGATTAGCATCTTCAATTTCACTAAGCAATTTTTGATACTTGTCAGATTTACAGCTAACAAGCTTGTCAGTTATGCAAACTTTATTTTCATTGATAACAAGTTTGCAAAATTATTTTTAAATGGTCTCTGGCGGGCATTGATCAATTCATACAGCACTTTATCAAATTTTTATCACAATCATTTGAAATCAGTAATTTTGGATATTTATTTATTCATAAATTCCAAGTTTCTTTCAAATTTATATTTAATTTTGGATAATTTTATTAATGATGTTTTGGCGAAACAGTATCTTGTTATAAGAGACATTCTAATTGAAAAACTGCCAATAATTATCAATGAATTGAAAACCATAATCGACAATTTCGTAATTTTCATTGGCCAGAAATCAATAGAATTAGTAAAGAGTGAAATCAATCAAGACGCAGCAACGGATCGAGGAGAAATATTTTCGAAAGAGTGAGTGATTGGATTACTTGAGAGACAAATTGTTATTGGTGTGGGGTTGAAAGGATTATTATTGGTAGGATGCAGGTCGGATATTAGTGTTAATGTTAGTGTTAGTATTAGTATTAGTATTAAGTCATTAAGAGAAATTCAAATCCTCTCTCAAAACTTCAAAATTTCTATTTTTATAGTTATCTATTTTATCAATCAAAAAAAAAAAAATGTATATATATATATATTTTTAACCAAACAAACATTTCAACTAAAATAAGTAAAACTTTGTTAATAAATGTATTATTTTTTATTTGTTGTCATGTTTTTTTCACTATTTCTTTTTTATAAAATGAAACGTTATTGTAATATTAATTTCATTTATTAATGTGCATATCATTATGCAATATAAATGTTGGGATAATTGGGGATAAAAATATTTATTCCTGTGGGATATTTTTGTCTATAAATGCTATCCTCGTGTATTAGCGTGTAACAAAGAATAAAGTTTTAATGGAAAAGTTTTGTACAATTTGTTTAAATTAGATGTTTTAACAATGACTCACTCACCCCCACAACAACATAATTCATTCGGGTGGATCAAATTAATTAAAAAAAGAAGGATATAGAATATCTGTAGTTTCATATTTTACTAATCAAGATTTCTTTCTTTTATTTATATAAATTATTATATAAACGATAAAAACGATAAGTAAAAAAGCAATTTTTTTTAAAAAAAGACAATTTTTCGAAAAAGTCTAAATATTTTTTAGTTAATTTTATTTTAATTAGTAATTGTTGGTTAGAGACACCAAGCAATTTGTTAAAAATAACTTATTATAAATATTTAAGTTTTTTGTGTGTATGCGGTGTTGTGTGTGTTTAAAAAAATAAAATAAATAATTTTCTTTTAAAATTTTATTTTTATTTTTTTTTTTGATATTATTAAATTATTATGAAAGAAGTTTTGACAACTCTAAAAAATAATATTGACATTAATATTAATAACGACAAAGATGTTTATTCAAAAACAACAACTACAACAGCAGCAGCAGCAGCAACAGATTCTTTTTCTCCTTCAACAGTTTCTTCAACCACCAATAACAACAAACATTCTTTTCCATTAATTGATAATAATTCTTCTATACCTCCCCCACCCACCACAACTCCTTCTCCCTCTTTTTTAACTTTACCTTCTACTTCTTCCGACGCGCCCTCTTCGTCAGCCACAATGACAAAAGCTTCAACCACCACCACCACTGCTATTAATGGAACAACAGCCACAACTAACTTAGCCACAACTAACGCCATATTATTTGACATAGAAATGACAAAAACTTCATTTTATTCAATTCTGACATTAATAGAACCATTTATTACAAATAATAAAGAATTGTATGATGAATGTTTAAATGGAGTTTTAGATATTTGTAAAGACACGTTAATCCAAATAGAAACAATCATTATTAAAAAGCCAAATAGAAAACAACAGATAGAAAATTTACGAGAATTTCAAGCGTTTAGTAAAATTATCGACACTATTAATGAATCATTCAATAAAACTGTCGATGATGACGGCAACGATAATATTAATAATATTAAAGAGTTGTCGCATTCAATCAATCAATTAAACGTGGCATTAAATGATAATATTAATAATAATAACAACAACAACAACAATAATAATGATGATAGCCTGAAAAAAATTAGATCATTGAAATTGAATAACAAATTAAAAAAAACCTTTTTAAATTTAACAAAATTCATTTCAAATACATCCTCAACAAAAAATCAAAAAATAGAAGATAATAGTAATAGTAATAAATCCTCAACCATAGAAATTAATAATAATAATAATAATAATTTAGAAAAGAATAATAAAGAGTTAAAAAAATCCGAAGAAAATTCTGATGAAGACGACGACGAAAATGAAGACGGAAACCACGATTATCAAGTTGAATACATCGAATCAGATTATTTACAAGATATTGAACCATCAGAAATTAAAGGAAGCAAAAACCATATTAAAAAGAAATTGTATGTAAATTATAAATTGGTTGCAGAGAAAAAAATCGGAAAGTTGTTTAAAGAACAACAATTGACTGAATTGAAAAAAGAAATTTTGTTTATGCAAGATTTATCAAAGAATTTCCATATTCTAGATTTGTAAGTAATTTAATCACATTATATATATATATAAATAAATATATATATATACACACACACACATACATATATCACAAAAGCAAAATATATCACACACATACTCATTTCATTTTATTTTTAATAGTTACGGATATTCTAATAATAATAATTCAAAAGATTATTTTGTCATATCTCAATGGATGCAATATAATTTAAAAGATTATCTTGCCACAAATCCAACAATACCTTGGCCTACTAAATTATCAATTTCTCGTGGAATTGCTGATGCTTTAACATCTTGTCATCAAAAAAGAATTTTGCATTATAACATCAAAAGGTAACAATTCATCAATGTTGATGATGATGATGATGATGATATATAGAAAAGAAAAAAAAACCATTTATTTTATTTTCTTTCCATTTCATCCTTTTAATTCTTTTTCATCTCAAATAAAATAGTGAAAATGTTTTATTGGACGAGAATTTACAACCAAAACTTTATAATTTTGGTACAAAAAAAGAATTATCTGTAATGTTGAAATCCGTAAATAATCTAAACAGTCTTTCGATTGCTTGGTGTGCTCCTGAAGTACTGAGTAGTGAAAATATCATTAAAAGCTATAACTCTGCAAGTGAAGTATATAGGTATGTTTTTTTATTAATAAATATGTTATAATAATGGTTTTTATTATTCTTGTATATAATATTAATACACCACGTACATGACTTTATTAGCTTTGCGGTACTACTTTGGGAAATTTCATCACACAAATTACCATTTAATCAGATAACCTCATCAAGAGACATCACCACAAAAGTGTTGCTTGGTGATAGACCTGAACCAAAATGCGTTGAGGGAACTCCAAAGAAATTTCAATCATTGATTGAAAAAGGATGGTCACATCTTGCTAATAAACGTCCAACAATTCAAACAATCTTCCAATCTCTCAACACTTTTGATCCATCTACTTTCCATAATATCAATGGTGGTAATGGTAACAATGGTAATAAAAGTGGAATTATTAAATTAATTGAAGGAAAATCAAAACCAAAAAACATTAATAAGGAAAATAAAACCAAAATTGCTACTAGCAATAGTAATGGTAGTAATAATAGCAATAAGATTAATGACAAGAAAAAGCTCAATGTCAAAAACAGCAATAGCAACAATAGCAACAATAGCAACAATAGCAACAATAGCAACAATAGCAACAATAGCAACAATAGCAACAGCAAAATTAATATCGACATCAAAAAAAATAATAATAATAGTAATAGTAATAGCAATAACAACAACAACAACAACAACAATAATATTTCCAACAGGAGGAAGAGCGGTGCAGTAAAGATCATCACTAACACTAACACTGCACCAAAAAATAGAACTATCAGCAATGGTAGTAGCAATATTCTAAGTAAATCTCCACCATCATTATCAAAGTCTCCACCAAAATCTCCACCGATCGCTTCATCGTCTTCTTCGTCATCATCTATTACATCCTCGACCACATCACGTGCCACAACGCCAGACATTTTATTGTATGATGACGACGACGATGAAGATGACGATATTGATGATATTGATGCTGACGATATAGACTATATTAAAAGTAGCAATGAAGACGAAGAAGTAAAGAATTCGATTAATCTTGACAAAGCAATCAAATACAATAATTCAAAACAATTTTCAAAAGCATGGGAATTGTTTCAACAAGAATTCAAAAAGAAACCAAACTCACCAGTGCTAAAATATTGGATCGGCTTGTATTATTTAAAAGGTTATCATCATCATAACAACAACAAGAAAACATTTACACCAGACCTCAAAAAAGCCGTTCAATATTTGAGTGAGTCGGCCAAGAAAAATAATCCAGATGCACAATATTTGTATGCGATGACAATATTGAATAATGGAATTGCAACTAAAGAACACGAAAATAATCGGTACAAGGTTGCGATGAAGTATTTGTATAAAGCAAGTGACCAGAAACATCCTTTGGCAATGCAAAAATTAGGAAGATTCATTCAAAGAGGACAATTTGGCAAAGATGTCGATGTCAAAATTGGTAAAGAGATGGTTGATAAAGGCAGAAGTTTGAGTATGAGCACTAGAATGAAAACTACCAATAGCAGCAGCAGCAGTAGTAGCAACAGTAGCAGTAATTTTAGCAATAATAACGAAAATGATGAATCGTTGAAAAAGAGAAGGTACAGCGAAAATAGTAGAGGTGTTACTTTTGCTACTACAACTACTGCTAGTAATAATAGTAGCCTTAATATTCCCGGAAGTAATATTAGAAAAAATAGAAATTCATTTGTGGCAACTACAAATCCTAATACCAGTTCTAATAATATTAATAATTCATATAAACGACGTACTGTTCATTATTAATTTGAGCATAATATACATAGTAATATATACATATAGTAGATAGATTTTTTTACATATTTTTTGTATAAATTATATAAATTTTTTTTATTAATTATATTAAATTTTTATAATGTATTTTTTTTTATTTTAATTCTCTGTTGTGTTAATATTTTTTTTCATTTTTGTATTATTTTTTTATTTTCTTTACACACATATATATATATATAATATAATATAATATAATATAATAATTAAATACATATGTAAACTCGCCCATTTTCTTAATATTTAAGTAATTTAAATTCGATAAGTCGGTTTACTCGATAAGTCGGTCATATGAGCTCACCCCCACATGACCGACTTATCGAGTTTACATATGTATTACTATTACGGGGGGGGGTTTGGTGTACGACGCGTCTATTTATTTTTACTATTATTTGTTATTGATATTTTTTTTTTTCTCAAAAAAAAAAAATTTTTTTTGATTTTATCGTTAAATACAACAATAAATAAATAACAACTAAACATGTTAAAAGAAAGTAGCAGTAACAAAGACTTGGAAAACATTATTAATGAAAATAAAAACAGTAACAATGATACTAGTAACAAAAACGATAAATTAACTGCAAGTTTTTTTTCCCTTTTATCAGTGAAATTTATATTTGTTATTTATTTATTCATTTTCATCATTTATTGGATTTTTTTAATATTAGAGTACCAATAAAGAAAATATTTATAAAACATATGTCGAAACTCCTGTAATATACAAAAAATTAAAACCTAAATTAAACGATTTAATTACCGATTATACTTACAATAATAATATCAATCATAATAATGGAAAAGATCGTCATCTTAAAAGTAAAGGAAAAGAAATTGTTAATAGCAGTTCAAGTAGTAGCAGCGCTGCTAGTATTATTGATAGCGGAAAAAATAAGATTAATGGTAATGTAAATTTTAATAGCGGCACTATTAGCGTTGATGTTTGTAAAATTCAAGATGATAAAGGCAAGACAGAGAACTCATTGAAAAGAAAATGGCAGGAAGAAGAAAATCAAGAAGGAAAAGACTATAATCATCATCAATCTAAGAAGTTTGCAAGAGAAAATGTGGAAAAGGAAGAGGAAAAAGCAATTAATGATCACGTTGCCGATGATAAAAATGTTAATGTTAAAGATGATTATATTATTGGTGAACATGAAATAATTGCAATAGGAGTGGATCTTAGCGAAGATAAAGTTCCAGAAGATTATACAGGATCTTGTGACGAGGATGATGATTATAAATAAAATAATGCATTTTCAGATTCGTCTTTAAAGCCTTTTTACATTATTATTTTTATTTTTATTTGCATAAATTTGTATAGCTATGATTTAATTTGCTTTTTTTTCTTTTGGCTTAAAATAAGTGTTATGGTTTATATTAAATAAAAAAAGTTACATTACCTATTCTTCTAATATATTCTAAATTTAATTTGGAGCATTTTTACTTTAAAAAAATGACCATGTTTGTAAATCGTTCATTGTATATACTGAGCTTGTTTACTTGTATGCAAAGGTTCGTAAACTTTGCAGACAAAGTTAATTATTAATAAATTTTACCGAGCTGTCTTTTTTTTTAAAAGAAATTAATAAAGGGACGATTATGATTCTCTTATAAAATTGTTAAAATTAAAAATTCGTGGTCGTGGTCTCCAACACATGGAGTAAGTATATCTATGGTAAATGATTTCTTAAAATCCCATAATATTTCTATCTTATTTTGTTTGACAGTTATGCTTTATGAATAAAGACGATTAACCAGGAAATCTGTCACATTTTGACATTATTTAGAATATCAAGCAATTTTTTAAATCATTGGGAAAGGTATGCACAATCTTCGTTGGTCATTTTTGATTGCCAAAATTGTGATGATAATAATTTGTTTTTCTGACCACAGAAAAAGCTCGACTCGTGGAAATATGGGCCAGAAGAGAACACCGCAAACTATATAGATAGTAATAGGTTACATACAAAACGGTTTGATATGGGGTTTGACCCACACTGTGATTGGCTTAATATTCCAAATTTGGTAATTTTCACCAACATTGCATTTTCTAATAGTAAAATTTTGGCCAGCTGCGGCAGTAACCTATCTATATTGTTTGCGGGTTCCTGCCAGAAGTTCCTTTTACAATTAATTTCACTAGTAGAACGATGACAAATCGAATAGATAGGTCGTTGCAACATGCCGATTGGTGTCGATTTATGGGTTATTTTTGACAGAAATTTCAAGTCTAATTCGGATATCTTTTGGTTTACTCGTTGATATTAATTAATTGGTTGAAATGCTCTCATTTGTAATAAATCGATACTTTATTTTATTTTCAATGTTATAACTGATTTATTTAATTAATCGGACATCATTCAGATAATTATTTAAAATCAATCGGCATTCTGGTTGGTATTAACCATGACTTTATGTGTTATTTTAAATTTATGAATTAATTTTTTCAATAGTAATATTTAAAATAACCCGATCCTAGCCATCGTTTTGCTTCTTTTTTACCTCTTCTGAATTATCTTTTACTTACCTTCAGAACTCGCTTCGTAACTATATACTTCTTTTATAAGATGCTACTAACTGATAGTTTTTAACTGCTTCATTAACTACATTGGCTAAAGAACCGGTATAACCTGCTTTTGTCCAATCCGGAGAATTAGTAAGTGCATTTAGTTCATTATCATATTGTTTATTCTTTTACGCATATGAAGTACTCTTGTTTTTCTTGAAAAATTTGATCAAGATAACCTCAAAGTAGTAACTTAAAGAACAAAGTTAGTTAATATTAAATGATTAATATTAATAAGAAAACACAGTATTAGATCTACAACTTGGTCTTTAATAACAACCTTCCTTCTTCCAATTTGATCCTCATATGGTTCTGAAACTTCTAGATGATGATAAAGATTAGAAACATGTTCATTAATTGAATTTTATCAATTGTTTATTTTGTTGAGGTTTCAAATTATACCCGCGGTGCTAGATTCTGCTGGAGTTTCTACTCTTCGCATTTGGTCAATGATCGATTGTGTTATTTTTGTAACCGTTGGTTTTTAATTAAACAAGGATATTCGTTGCTAGAAATGTTATCATGATTTTTTTTGTTGGTTTTACCTTCATTGATTAATAGAAGTTTGCGATGGCGATAGCAACCTTATTATTACTTTTTTAATATCAATAGGTGTAAAAACAAATAAATTGCTTGCATTTTATACCTTTCCCGGCTTCTGCTTCTTTCTCTTAAACCATGTCGCGGATTCTTTTTTTTTTTTTTTTGTCTTGTATTTTTTTAGTCAAGGAACAAATTATTACTATTAAGTAAAGTTATTTAAATAATAGCCATGCGATAATAATAATTAAAAGATCCAAAATGAATCGATTACAAAATGGAGGCTGATTGATATTACCTAAATGCTATTATACTATTACCATTACTATTAATATTTATTATATACGTATTGTTTAATACTTATTTGTAAAAAGGTAAGAATTTGCTAAAAACGTTAGGACTTTAGTCGTACAAAACTGATTCATATAATAATAAGTATTCCATGTAAAAATAAATTTCTGATCATAAACACTGATCATCAAATAATATAAATAAATAAATTAGTTGACCTTAATTGTTTCAAATATTTATATCGGAATGCAAGCAGTAAAAAATTCAATTCATTCATATATATAAATAGCCATTTTGGTGCCATCTAAAACTATTATGATCACGAATTATTTTCGTGAAATGATGAAAAATTGAATTAATAAAAAACAACTATATACATATATAATTGTATTATTACCGTAAAGAAATGCATTATATAATGAATAATATGCCTATTTGCATCTTTTTCATTTTTTCATATGTATGTGGTCACACTTGAGATAAAATATAAATTTTTTCCTTTTGTTTGTATTATATCATCCCTCATTATAATTTTACCTTATATGAACATAAAAGAAATGACCATAATAAAATTTTTTATCCATTATATGAATTTCCATCGCATGCTGCTGGATTGAATCACATCACATTTTTGAAAATAGGAAAAAAGGACAACTTTTTAAAAATAAATGGTGTTACTTATGAGTAGTGCAGTTGGAACATTCCAAACAATGTAAATCAATTGGAACGTTCTGATGGAGAACATCTGACGTCGTACAACATATTTCACATTTATCACACAAATGATCATCGAATTGGAATTTCCGCGAAAACCAATTCACATGTAGAATCTCAATGATATCCATCATGGGTCTTCTTTACCATTCGATTGAGTACATTTTACATTTTATTATTATGTTTATCCGAAATGTTGCGGCAAATTAATGGATATGATTTTCTTTTTTCATTTGATTTGGATACAAAAACCTCTATATATATATTTTGGAAACCAATAATAGACTTGTAGAAAATATCCCCATCCAAGAACTATGTAGGTACAACTGTATTATTTTTTGATAACGATATGACATATTATCTCAATTGGGTAAAATTAAAAACAAAGCTTAATTAAGGTTCTACTAGATCTTTCATAAATCTTTGTTGAATTTTGAAAAAAAGTCTTGATCAAAGTTTGCAAACTTTTCCTAATTTGGTTAGATTTTTCCTCCTCTGTCTTTAATTCTTGTATTCAACTAATTCATAAACCATGAGTTTACAAGATAACTTGGGCCAAACTTTTATTATAATTAATATTTTAAAGATTTATTTAATAATATTATGCAAATAATAGTAAATATTCAATTAAAAATTAAGCAAGACACCACATATGTGTATATATATATTATATGTTATATAACTAATAAATTTAGACGATTACAGCATGAATTTCTACTATTTCAAAATACTTTGAAAATAACAAACCAAACTCATTTTCTGTTCTACAACTAACTTCAACTTCTTTTGCTACAATTTTTTTAACGCCTGATTTAGAAAGGATAAAGTTTTCCAATTTTGCTAAATTATCTTTTTGCAACAGAAATTTAAGATCTGGTAAATCTTCTTCATCGTCCATTTCTGATTTTTTGTTGAAGTCAAGAGAATTGGAATCGGGTGATGATGGCAAATAAATCCATTCGTGTGGGTCATTGATGTGATCAAGTTCTGTGGTAATATTTTTTGGAGTTAACGAATTAGGTGATAAATAAAATGTTACTTGATGATGTCCACGCTTAGCATGACGTTTTAAAAATGGTATAATAACATCAGAGCATAAAGTGTTCATTCTAAAAATTGATTATTTTTTTTAAAATTAAATATTATGAAATTAATATTAATATAAATTTAATCAATTCAATTAATTTACCTTCTAAGAGCAACTAAAATAACAGTGTCTTTCAACGATGAATCTTTATTTTGGTAAACGGTCGAATATCCACTTAAAGCTGATTCGTAAGAAGGTAACGTATCCTCAGCATCATCTTCCAATGTATTATCGCTTTGATATGGTATTCCAAGATCTCCCATTTGTAACACTACAACTTCTCGAGCAACATTTCTAGGTACGCACAGTTTGCCATAACGAAGATAATCAAGTATAACACCAAACGCCAAAGGGTTATGATCAATAAACAATTCTTTTTTTGACGATGTGCTGGATACTAGTTTTGCCAATTTACTATCTGGAAAAGATTTAGCAAGTTCTTTTTTTATTTCAAATTTAGTGCCTCCAACGTTAAAGGTTACTGTTGACATGGTTTATTTTTTCTCTTGATTAATGTGTGTTATTAGTTAGATTAATTAATAATGTGTACGTATATAAATGAAGTCTAGGTCCAATGATTTTTCTTGATGGAAAAGATGGAATGAATCAAATAACAATTTTAATTTGTCTCGGAGTTATCGTGATACATCTGCAAATAGCAATATTAATAGTTATGTGTCTCGTTACACATCAGCACCCTATGATCGCTATGATTAATTTGGAATAAGATTGTTTCGGAATTAAATTTGAATCACAGGTCATGGATACTTTTTATTTGAATTAAAATGGAAATTTTTTTTTACTTAAATAGTTGAGAATTTTCTCTGACCTTTTGCCCTTGTCACAAAATAATTTTTTTTGAATTTCAAACTTTAATTCTTTTTTACCTTCGATAAAAAATAACCACAAAATTTAAATTTAAATTAAAATTGAATTTTAATTGATATTTAAATTCTCGACAATCCTAAAAATTCATAATTTAAAATTATAATTATAATTCGTGATCATGTATAGAATCAGGTATAAATTGGTTTCTAATTAATATATATAACTTCATCTTTAAATAATAATCAACGGTAATTAATATCTTTCTATCTATATACGCATATGTTTTACGTACAGTGATCCAAACCAATATTTGGTAAAAACTGGTGCTTTTATTGATGATGTTAAATTATGTAAAAAGGCATGGATATTCCCTGGCCAAAGGTCCATGTTTTTCGACATCACTCCCGCAAATTACACTTTACAACTTCAAGCTATGACTGCAGAAAAATTGGAATTCAATCTTCCTGCTGTGTTTACTATCGGGTAATTATAACAGTTAAATAAATAATCTTTAGGAAACAAAACAAAATTTGTCATTAAATATTCTCTCTATCCATTATAGTCCAAAAGATGAACACAAAAGTCTTGAACGTTATGCCAAATTGTTGGCAGCACATGATAAAAGTTCAGACCATGTCAAAGATTTAGTTAGGGGTATCATCGAAGGTGAAACTCGTGTAATTGCTGCGGGCATGACTATGGAAGAAATTTTTCGTGAAAGAAAAGGATTTAAAGAACAAGTCATCAAAAGTGTACAAGCTGAATTGGATCAATTTGGCCTATTCATTTATAATGCTAATGTTAAACAATTACAAGATACTCAAGGATCTGAATATTTTGCTTACATGGTAAATTTCTTTTTCTTTAAATTTTTCAAAAATATTTACCAGAAATAAAGAAACTAAAGGGTTCTTTATTTTTTTATAGCGTATGAAAACTCATGAAGGTGCTGTGAATCAAGCAAAGGTTGATGTTGCTGAAGCTAAATATAAAGGGAATGTAGGAGCTAAAGACCGAGAAGGTTTAACGGTAAGTTTAGGTTTTTAAAATAATTAATATTTCTATTTATTTTCTATTTATTTTCTATTTATTTGTTTGTTTGTTTGTTTATTTATTTTCGATAGAGAAGAGAAACGTCAAAGATTGAAGCTGAAACGGTTTTAGCCGAAAATGAACGTAAAGTTACCATTGCACAAGCGGAAATGAATCTCAGCACTAAAAAATCAGAATATGAAAAACAAACAAAAATAGCTGAAATTGAAGCCGCACAAGCTGCAAAGAAACGTGAAGCTGAACTTCAAAAAGAGGTTGAAGAACGTAGATTATTGTCAGAGACCGAAAGGCTTAGAGTCCAATATGTTTCTAAAGCTAAAGCTGAATTTGAAGCTAATAAAGCAAATTCTGATGCTAAATTATATACTGCTCAAAAAGAAGCTGAAGCTGCATTATACCAAAAACAGAAAGAAGCTGAAGGTGTGTTATCTTTGTATAACGCTCAAGCCGAAGGTATCAAAAATTTGATGTTAGCATTTAATGGCGATACTCAAGCAGCTGTTCAATACATTATGATTGAACGCGGCGTCTTCCAACAATTGGCCAAAGAAAATGCTTCGGCAATCCAAGGCCTTAATCCTAAAATCACTGTTTGGAATACTGGCGGTGAATCTGCTCAATCTTCTAATAACCCAATCAACGGTATATTTCAATCTTTACCCCCACTTTTATCAACAATTCAAGATCAAACTGGCATTAAACCTCCTACTTGGATTGCTCAAATGTCTGATAATAACACCTCTTCCACTTGAACTCAATAGATAATTTCTTTTCTTTGCTTAATAATCATTATAATTATATATATATCATTCTTTTATTATTATATATTTTTATTACTTATTTTACCATTGTATATAAGCTGAATTGGAAAGCATCTTAGTATAAAGTTCTACTATTAATATTAATAAACCCATCATCTTTTTAGAAAATCAAAATTTTTTTATTTTTTTTTTATTATTATTTGACGAATAAAAGTCACGTGGATAAATAAAATAAATAAATTGTTTTGTAAAGAAATTTAAATTTTAATATAATGTCCTTTCCACTTGACGATTACCTTGCTAAAAAATATGGCGGAACCTCCTCCTCCTCTTCTACCTCCTTAACAAAAGTTCCAAAAAAAAAGAAAAAACAAAAAACTTCAAAAGCAACAAAAGCAACACCGAAAAGTATAATTGGCAATTTTTCCATTATTGATGAAGAGGAGATAACCGAGAAATGGAAAAATGTTCAGTCAGAAGATGACGACGATGAAGTTCCTGTTATAGGTAAACGGTTGCTTTAAGATTATGTAAATATATTAATTACTTTATCGTAGTTGTCAGACTAACTTCTCCTTTTAATTTAAAAAGTGGATGATGCATCAATCATGGAGCAAGAAGAAAGAAATAAAAAATGGAAGCCAATCGCAATCGAACCAGAGGATGAAAAACCACAACTAGGTAAATAGAATAACAATAATTGAAACTGAATTGAATTGAACGATTACGCAATATAAAGAAAGACAAATCCTTCATTAACATAGAACATTAAACTGTTTTTAGTGTTACCATCAAAAGAAGTTATGGAAGATATTATTTCAGCAACAACAACGACGGCGACAACATCAAACTCTGCCAAAATTGAAGATAGCACATTAAATGAAAATACTACTACTTCCTCTCCAAAAAAACGCAAAAAAGCTAGATCAGTATCACCTACACCTAAAATGTCATCAGGTTTAAGTGCTGGTTTACATACATATGATAAAGCACGTAAAGAAATGGCTTTGGTTGAAAAAAAAAAGCGAGACGAGCTAAGAAATTTAGATCCATCGTTATCTGGTAAAGGTGCTGACGTTATACATCGTGATAAATCAGGTAATTAATAAAAATTTTTTTTTGCTTTTAATTTAGATACACACATACATGTATTTTAAAATATTACTTTTGTATCTAGGAAGAAAAATTGACGTAGTAGCACAAAGAGCAGAAGAACGCAAAAGAATTGAAGAAGAAGAAAAAAATATGAAATGGGGTAGGGAAGAAGAAATCAAAAAAGAAGAAGTATTGTTGAATAAACCATTGGCAATGTATGTGTTTACTAATATACCACAATCTTTTATAAAAACTTTTTTGTTTGTTATTAAGTTAAAGTTAAAAGCATATATTATTATCAATAGATATAAAGATGACGTGGAATTAAACGAGGAATTGAAAGCAAAAGGACGTTGGAATGATCCGGCGGCAGATTTCTTGAGTAGTGTAAGTGTTATATATGTGTGTGTGTGTATATATAATTGGTTAGAATAATAATTTTTAATTCTAATCTATCTATTTATTTATTAATTTAGAAAAAGAAAAAAAAAGGGTTGGAAAGACCACGATATAAAGGACTACAACCGCAACCAAATAGATTCAACATAGACCCAGGTTATAGATGGGATGGTGTTGGTAAGTTTGATTTTCTAATCACGTTATCATTACTATTGTTATCATTATAATTAATGATAATTTGTTTAATTTAGATCGGTCTAATGGATTTGAAAGACAATATTTTGAAAAAATCAATGATAGAATTTCACTAGAAAAACAAGCATACAGTTGGTCAGTTGAAGATATGTGAAAATAATATAATAGATAAAGAATCAGATTTTATATATTTTCATTGAAGATAGTTACAAACAGACATTTTATTATCATTAAGTTAGATTATATTTATTCAATTAATTATTTTTTAATAAAATATTTCAATATGTGTGCGCTCGACTCTTTTTACATTAAAATATTGGAAATACATACTATCCTAATCATTACAAGTAAACATTACAATATGTAGTATTAATAATTCTTTAGAAGAAATGTTTCTTTTTATAGTTATCTTTAGTCTCTAGATTCAGAAATTAAAGATCATTCATTATTCTTATCCATTGCTTTATCTTCATAATCATTATTATTATTATTATTAGTATTACTGGCACATATATACCATAATTATAATTACGATTATTACGTTTTCACGATAAAACTACTATTATCTTTATATATAGATCTACCATATATTTTTATTTCCACTCAAAGTTGTGCATTTTTACTATTTAAATCAAAATCCTACTACATATATATATGAAAAATGAAATTTATATATGTGCTGGTAAATCATATTAATATGATGTGGAACACCTCAACCGAATATGTATAGTAATCTTAATAATAAACCAGAAAAGCTCTCAAATTATCTCAATGCTCACACACATGTAAACTGAAATGTCAGTTTTTTTTATGATGTTGACGACATTTGATGATTGAACTTTAGATGTTTCGGTTCGGTTTTGAGTTACAAGTGTATTTATACTTCTTGAAGTATTACATTTTTGTCCAAGAATGATAAATGATGGATGACTAATTGTGATTATTAATGCTAAATGCCAAAAACGCGCTATGGATTCATTGATGACTGACTACCTTGGATATATAAAAAAACTTGATTGACAATAATTGGGATCCCAATTTACTATCCTCTTCTACTAACAATATTGATGTTATCGGGCAACCACTATTAAGCTATTTCAACTTCTTACAAAGACAGACTTGCAGCATAGAAATAAATGATACGTTTTGTTTTATTTTTTTTTATATTCTAAAAATTTAATTTTAAATTCTATAGAAAAAAATGATGAATTTGATGTTACAACATACTACTTCCAAGAATCAATTTACATAATAACTCTTACTCTTGCGAGCTTTTTTACTCCTTGACTAATTCTGATCAATTAGATGATACATCTGACCAATCAATTAACACACCTGCTTCAGCAAGTATATCTGATTTACAAAACAAAATGGAATACTTTGTCAATTTCCTCAAGGAAATTTTTAGAATTGTACTATAAATTGTTTATTTTTATCCAGTTTAAATTTTATGAAATAAAATTTTTAAAAAAATGGCAATCATCAACGCACTAATTACACTACCGCTTTATATCAAAGCTCACAATTGTTGTCTTGTTTTACTAAAGCATTTTGCTTTCAAAAAGAAATAAAATAATGTTTTCATTTAAGAGTTTACTATGATAACGGTTTTACAGAGATTTTATTTTATTTGAATGTTAATGTGGTATTTGTCCTCCTCACTTTTTCAAGTGAAGACCAGAAGTTCATTCATTATCATTAAGTTGATTGAATGTCCAATAAAAATTTTTTATTAGTTATTCATATTTTGTCTCCTCATACTAGTAATAATTTATCAAGCTAACATAAGTAATTAAACTATAACTAATGAAAAACATATGAAAAATATATAAAGAAATACAATAATAATCTAACACTGTATTTATTGTTATTTTTTTTTATCAATTA